TCTCGTACTGTAGGTTATCCATCATCTCCTTGCAGTCTCCTCCAATATCTCCGTAATCCGTTTGCAACCTATGACCTTCTTTCCTGCAGAAACAGTCAAGCTACACTTATCCATCCATCTAGGTCTCATTCCTTAGCATAACAAGACTAACATCATCATTCACAAGGAAGGAACAAGCCCTAGTGCTTTTGCTCCTCGGGTCTTTGATACCATATCCTACTTTCTACCTACAACATTTGATCCTTCGTCTCTCTTTAACAAGCCCTAGTAGCACCAGAGAACACTATGGCGACTTCCTCGGAAACTATCGAATCCTCACTATCCCGTGAGGGTAACTCTCAGCTACCCTTCAACTCCAAGCAAGAGCCCAAGATACGAGAGTGGTCCCAATTTGAGCTGGATACGATTTGCGCTTTGATCTGCAAGCATGAGCATTGCGAAACCTTCAAAGAGAAGCTTGCGAAGCGTCCTCATACTGGTGATACGAATGGTGAGCATCCAGACAACGATGCTAGAGACCGCACACTCCGGCTCGCTACGAAATTGAATGAAGCTCTCCATGGCATCCATAACTACAAGCACGACATTCCAATTTCTGACGTGCGAGAGCTCATGGATTTCATCGAGACAAAGAACGAGGCTGTTATGACGTACATCACGAGGCAGTCGATCCCATTTCGAGTAACACGCTCCAAGAAGTATGTGTTCCAGCGCCTCTGCAACAACTTCAACCATGCCTTCTACAAGTGGATTTTGATACGCCGAGAGCGACTTCGTAATCCAAATATCAACACTGAAGAAGAGATATCTCTGCTCAATTGGGTCGAGTATTACCTGTCAAGCCAAGGTAAAGGTAAATTATGATCATATATTGACTCTTCAAGCCCACGGCTTCATCATGGTTCTTCGAGGTTTTGTCCTTTCCCCATGATCCAACTTTTCAATTATGGAACTAATATTTTACATCTACTAGACAACTATCCTCTGGGCGTTGCTCGCATCCAAAAGAACGCGCAACTGGTATGTGTTAAAAACATCTCCTGCGCCTAGCGCCCTCGTTTCTATTATTCGTGGGATGTGACAAACTCTATGATACTAAGCTTAGAGCTCCTGACTAACCTGTTTCTGTATATACAGTTTGCAGATAGCGAGAACGGCTGGATTTCCAACTCTGTTTACGCTCGACGAAGCCGCGAAGCTCCATGTATCGACACAGTCTCTAGCTCGAGCCAGGAACCCAGAATCCGCTTGCCTCAACGGCCTATCCCTTCGGTAGAGCCAAGTCGTCGGTTTCACTATCGGAAGCGACGTAGAGCCATAAGCCGTTTTCCTCCCCCTCCGCCTCCCCTTCCCACCTGGGGTCTTTCTGCCCAGTACAAGCATACAGACATCCATGCATTCAGGGCATATGAGAAGGAGAGCTACGAGGGCATGGAGACAGAGACACATGTCCACCCAGCTTGTCATGCTTACTATGACTATCTCAATTCAACTCCTGCATCTACGCCTTTAACCCCGGCCTCGCCAGCCTACTTTGGCAATGCTGGTCTGCGGCAAACCATTCATCCGACGGGGCCAAGGCCTGAAACACCTTTGCTTGCTTATCAGCACCATTCAGAGGTACAACCGAGCGTCAATTCGACGGGTTTGCAACCTGGTTCTCCTGGGCCGTTGGCATTACCGACGCACGAGAACTCATATAATGCTGCGATCTCCAAGAGCTATCAATATCCCGAGCCGCCGCAGGAGAACGGAAACTTCGACTATAGCAGTGTAATTGATACACCTACCTCGCCTTCATCTCCGATGCATATGTCTAGCATGATGTCTGCTGGGATGGTAGGCGCCGATGCAGGAGTGCAGACCCCTTTCAAGTCCGTCTATGAGAATAGCTACGGGGGCGACCTCTACCACGTCAGCAGTGGGTGCAGTGAATACTCTCTAAACTACTAGAGCTAGAGAGCTCACTCGTCTCCCACTCATTTGCACTTCACTCGTAATTGTACGGGTAATTGCCCCTGGGGGCAGCATTGCATTCATCTCCATGATTGTTGGGCGATGAAGCCTACAAAGAGGACAAAGGGAACTAGCCATCATCATGTCAAGAGGGATGAACGACAGTAATGAGATGATTGCGATTACTCTCGGAGACTTCTCTCAAGCTTGTAAACCTTGCTGAAGAATACACAAAAAGGGGGAAGAATCACGTTTTCTTTTCATTGACCGTATTGTTCCCATTCACGGCGTAGCTGCCTACTACACCCCTTTATCTCCTTAGAGAGGCAGGGAGATGGCTTCGCAACACAGCACACATTTTCTTTGCCTCTTGCATTCTACGTTTTATCCCCTGCCATGATTCACGCACGGTATCAAAAGTTTTGCCTAAGTATTGCCTAGAAACACAAGTTTAAGTTGCAACAGCACGCATAATGGACAGGTACGTCAAACTTCTCACGGGAAGGAAGTGAACATCAACTAACATATCTTGCGGTAAGCCGAGCTCAAAGGGTCCCGATGTAACAACCGGTCGAGCTACATCAACAGCTGTCGAACTCCTTTTCTTATTGCCTTTCCTAATATTCCGCACGGAACTGCGGTCGAACAGACAGACAGACGTCTTGGAAGGCACTTTTTCTATCTCTGTTCAGATTCGCTCATATAAAGCTCCCAAACAAGAAATGAGGGAGCCACACAATATCGTGCAGTCTTTTGCCGCAGTAGCCGAAGAGAGCATTATTAGGATTGCACCCCCTTTCGGCGAAAGGATTCTTGACAACTAATACGAGGGGAGCACAAGACAAACGCTAGGACGATGGGCAATCGTTCAATGTCGCAGTCATAATCATGAAAAAAGGGGATGGATACGAAACTCAGGGGAGAAAGACACGTAATGTGTTGTTGTATAATAGCATATGGACTCCCAAGACAGACGAAGATATCCCGTACTTTAGATAGCCGTGCTTCTCTCCCTAGATCAGCCACAGCTAAAGATGCAAGATACGAGAGACTCTCCCTAGCATACACTCCGAGAATGACATTTGCGATTGCACTAGACTAGAAACCGGCTGTCCGATCATGTTAGGATCACTTTCTGAATAATTTTATTCAGGCATATGTGGCGATTCCGACGGCTGCACGAAGAGGCCAAAATAGCACTGTTGGGTAAGTTCTAGCACGTATATCTTTTTCTGTAGGAATTGTTACACATTTCTATGTCCCACACCACGACAGCATGCTAGATCGTCCGGAGCACTGGATTCGGGTATTAGTACAAGCAGCTTTTGCCCAATCTTGTGTTAGATGAATGTGAATCTTACGATCTCTTAGCAGCAGGTGTGACGAAACAGCTAAATTTTGGCTAGTCTGCTGACTGACTATCGGGCGGGATTCGATTAACACTCCATTTGTATCATATTTAGCTATATTTTTTCGTCTTGATCTAGTTATCGGATGACATATCATGATAGGTAGTAGAGTGAGGTGCCAGTAAAAGGACGCCTGGCCGATAAACCCGGCAGGGCGGGCTCGAATTGCTCGCATCTGTCGGATCTGACACATCGAATTTGATTATACAGTGGTGATGTGTCAGTCTCAGCCGGATGTTCCATGCTGTGGAATGAACTGTACGGCTGTAGGTAACCAATAGGTCAGGCTATATGTCATATACGGAAGCGAGGGAGATAGTGTACTGGGCAGCTGACACTTTTGGTTTGTTGTTTGCTTGGGTTCCAACCTCACCGACTTGTCGGTACTTAGCCTCCCTCCTTCTCCCAGTCAGTCTATGCCCTCTCTGTTTAGTAGGATGACGGTACGTGCTACGTCTCACTTATACTACGTAGACAGTTGGCCATACCCATGGCTGTGTTATAGTAAGTAGCGTACAATTAGCTGGCAGACGCGCAATCGCTTCCAAGATATCCACCGTACGGGACTGGGCGGTTGCAGATCCCCATGCATGGACTGTACGATTTTCGGTAGTGCTGTAGTCGTACGATATCTCCTCCGTGTGACATAGCCGTTCTTCAAGCAGCCGACTGCGTGCGAGACCGAAAAAAGAGACTGGTCCTCATGCACGAATCCGTGAGCCCGTCCATGGAAATCGCAAGACCACGCCCGCAACGGGGAGCGGACCAATCCCTTTGCTCTCCGTGTACCTGGTGCTTGTTTACGTGAGTCATTGTGCCCGCCTTGCCAACCCTCACACTGCAGGCATCCCCATGCCATAGATCATATGTCATGATAGCCATACCGTACGTGTTCCCCCTCCTTCAGTTGTGTCCCACCATCCAGGAGTACCGTGGTAGTTTCCACAGGAGGAATCATTCCCAGTGGCAGGAGACAGAACGGGCGAACATACCTATCACAGCTCTTTAAATTTTAAATGTGCTACAATACGACGTGGCCTGGGCCGTGAACTCAAGGCTTTCGTGGAATCATACGGTCGGTCAGACCTTTTTGCGTTCTATGCCCTCCGTTGAAATAAATGGCTGGTTGGGATCGAGCGGGAGTTCATCCTGTGCTTGAGCCCTCCTTGCCCCGAAAATCCGGCTTTGTCAGTTGCTTCTGCCATGATTTTCTGTATAAGCGTACCGTTCTGCAATGGGTGGTAAATAGTCGCATAGACGTGACATGGAACATGGATGTTACGTGTGTTAATATGGAATGGTCGCGCCTTGGGCAGAGTTGTATCCCAGCTACCACCCATCTTAAGCACCAACATGCCTACTTACCAATGAGTCGAGGTAGCATGGCTGCACGAAATCTCGATAGAGCCTGCACGTTGTCGCCTCAACGGGGCTCTAGATGCTGATTTGATAAAGAAGGTAGTGATGGCCACCGCCACTCTTATATACAACATCTACTCGTTGATCCTGTGCCGCACGAAAAGAACAGAGAAAAAAAAGAAAAAAACTAGAGGATCACTAGCGAATGGCCTCAAAGAAAGATAAAAAAAGATATTGGTTGTTATCCTCAGTTGATCTGAGAAGCATCAGGAATTGAGCCCGATGCGGGGGTCGAACCTAGACGTACGAATTAGTATTTTCATCGCCGTGACTGTTCTTGTCTGTCTGTCTAGTACTCACCCGCAACCTTGAGATTAAGAGTCTCACGCTCTACCGATTGAGCTAACCGGGCAAGGTAGAGGTAGATGGAAGAATCCGTCACGCAATCATCCGTCTTGTGGGACGATGGTGTTAACGATAAGGCAGGCGGATCCGAAAATGGGAAGCTTTGCTCTGTGACTGGAGTTACCCTAATCTACTAGGCGAAAAAAAACCAAAGCCTCGGTTGTTTAAGTGGGAATAGTTAGAATACCTACTTCAAGGTGAAGCAACGCAAGCTCCCTTTTTTTCCCCCAAAATCAAAACACCCCTGATCCTGGCTTCGTAGTGTATACTAGTAATGTATAGGTAGTTCGAAAAAATTGGATGGTGGAGGATTTTCGGTCGGATCGCCTGCTGTCGATCATAGACTCGTATTCCGACTCATAACACAAACAGGGCGAACATTTGAATTGAAACCCGAATATAGGGACAAGAGAAACCATGTTGATATCATATGTGAGCAGGGGATTTACTTACTCTTTACTCATAGTATAGACAATGATTTGAGTTCTCGTAAGGCGTTGTGTGGTATTGGATTATAATTGGTACTCTCATGTATAGCCGGCAAAAACTGTCATGTTATCTCAAGCTATATATCACAAGGTGGTATTAAGAACCCGGGAAGTTTTCAAATCTTGATTTTAAGACGTTAATAGTGCAAAGCAGACAAAAAGGGGTGAAACTTGATACAACCACCTAAGTTAGTTTCTAAACGCACATATCAGTCTGCCGGTGCACGCTAGCGAAGATTTGCATACTTTGTGATAATTACTTTGAATTACATACTATGTAGACAGCGTAGCAAAGCCGTTGTATCAAGTAAAGACAGCGGCGTGTTTGGAAATCTGCGCTAGTACTTTTTCTCTTGAATCCCTGAATACCTTTCTAACTTAAGGAAGGGAGTGAGTGGAAGGCGGCAGAGCCTGTGACAAGACCAATTTGTACAAAGAGAGTCCCGACCTGATATGATCATGAAAACAAGGGGAAAAACGAAGGTCCAATGGAATGGAAATACGCCCCTCCCCCCCAAAAGCCTGCACACGTTCTGTGTATCACTTGAAAAGGAGAAGATTACAAGGCCGGATAATTAACTAGGTAGGAAGGTGTTGAGACGCCCTACCAAGGGAGAGGAAAACCAGATACCGCCTGGGCTTGCGACCCAAGTCATATGTTACAGCCGGCATGCCTGCAAGCACTTTTGACCTTTCCCAACTGCCGTGTCTTGAGGTAGCGACGTGGCGAGGCTAGGGCTCAGTTAGTCCCATTTCCCAGCTTTCGCCGGGGCCAGGGATCCCTGGACGCTCGCCTCATCGTCGTCACTGTCATCAAAATTGGGAGGAAGATCCTCAACGACGACCTCGAATGACGGCATACTATCATCCGCAGCCATGGCGTGGAACAAGCGCGCAAGGTCTTGGCCGTGGAACGTCCGCATGTCGTACGGCTCGCCAGCAAACACGGCTTGGCGCACATGCGCACGCAGGGTCAGTTCATTGCCATTCCTGTTAGCGCTGCTGCTTTTGTTGTTGGGGTTACTTTCGCCGGTGAAGGCACCCGGGTTCATGCGTACGTCTGTGACGGCCGCGCTTTGCAGGGATTCGCGGGTCGGCTGACACTGAGCTATGATGCGGTGTTGACCGTGGCGTAGCCAGTGCACCGTGATACGGACAGTATGGGTACGTATGTTAGGATGGAAGACGGAAAGGGGTCGAGGCGGGTAATTGCCGTGACCATTGCTGTTGCCATTGGTATTGTCGCTAGCATTATGGCCTTGGGGTTTAGGAGGTCGATTGTGCCACTGAGGCATCGGGGAGGGGCCGTCTACGGAGAACCCGGGGGCGCGAAAACAGGTGAAGTGCTGGGTGGGAGGCATCGAAGGATTCATGTTATTCTGCGGACGACCGGGGTGCGGTCCGCCCGCCATGCCCGCAGGATAGGAGCGCGGGGGTGGGGGCATGGTCGTTTTTCGCATGGAAGGCGGCGGAGCTGGAGGTCCATTCATGCCAGGGTGTCCAGGGGGTGGCGGCGGTGGCGCTTGTCTGTAGGCGAACGAGGGCGAACGAGAACGCGCAGGGCGGACGGCGCGGGTGTGTGGGGGTGCTGGCGCGAAGACGTCTCGGGCTGCTCCCCTTGAACGCGAATCTCCCGCTGGCTCATGGGCACCAGGGGCAGTCACCGTACCACAGTCCGGGCGGCCAGAAGGACGCTGTCGATCCTTCAAAGCCCCATTGGCCCCGGGCGCATGCTTCAGCATCGTGGCCTCATCACCAGAGCTGCCCCATTCAGACAAAGCAGCAGTCGAGGACTCGGAGTGACCAGAGACGATGGAGACAGCATCATCGTCGTCGTCTAAGTTGGGTTCAAGGAAGGCCGCTTTAAGGTCGCGGGGTCTCGAGAAGCCATTTATCGTGATATAGTTGTGAATTGCCTCACATGACTTTGCGTGTAGAGAGTCTATTGCTTTTTGGGGACTCTCACAAGGTTCTGACACTAACAGAACCTCACGGGCATCTTCGCTACCCTGCACAGCATACGCTTTCAAGAGCTTATCGGCAGGATCTTTGCTGATGATTACCTGCACTACATCATCTCTGCTTATGATGAACTTGCAGTTGTCTGGCATTGTCCAATCAGAACAGGGCACGGTCTTATGTCAGATGAGTGAAGGGACTGACCTATGATTTGCGTCCGACTATCGAAGACGAGAGTTGACGGGGGGAACACATGAGGGGCCATAACGGTGTCTGGTAGGTGCTGGACACGGGTGTGAGCCTGATTTGGGGGCTCTTGGAGGTACACTAGCATTGAGGAGCAAAGTTGGTACAGATGCATTCAATGATCATGACCGGAGTATCCGGACACCCATCTTATTTATATATTGATCCAGGTGCGAGGTGTAATGGCTCCCTGCACCCACGCTCCCTTTGTGCGTCATGCTTAGTCGCAGTCATTGGCTCGAGCGAGGCTGGCATGCATCTTGCAAGACCATGGTCAGAGAGGCGAGCAGCCGTGGTGCACTACTGCAACACAACAAACGGTTTCACTGTACCTAGCCTCCTCGGATATACGTCAAGATACCCGAACTCCGCGTAGCCTACCTCAAAGGTGGATGACGTCGGAGCGCTTGAGAAAAGTGAGGCGAGCAGTATTGGGGGTTCCGGTTTGATAAGGCACCCCTGGATTCCGTGCAGTCTAACCGCATCCTCCCACCCACACCGCTGGGTTCAAACAGAAAAGAAAAGACATCCCTTGGGTTATTTATATGTTCTTGTTGGATAGCTAAAATGACAAGGACAGGTCTGATCCGTCGCATTTCTTGAGTTAGACTGCTGTATGGTCGGCTGGCTGTACATTTTGTGAGCCCACCGAAAAGTCGGGTTACTCGGACGCCACCAAGAAGCCAATGGCACAGCAGAACGAGGCTGCAAAAGATGGTTAGCACTGGTCGGCCGCACTGCATGTCGCACAACGCCACACAATTGCAAGGGATCGAAAAAAAGCGTGATACTAGGTTCTCTATATAATCAGCATGGCGTACATGAACCACCATGTAGCCGAGGCATTCGACAGGGAATCATCGCAGCATAGTAACGCTGACCACCTTGGAAAATTGTTGAACCTTACACGGTATTGACGGCCAATGATTCTGCACTTGTGCTGACGCATATCGGAGCATCGTTTTATCATAATACATTCTTTATCCAGGACGGATGGAACCGACCTTCCTTGCCTGTTGCAGGTACCTTCTACCCGACCACAGCCAAGCGTTCCAGCCTCGACTTGACCGCCTCGACCAGCGCTGTCTCTCGCTCTAGAAGGCTCTTGACTTGGCCGATCTTAGCACGCCTGAGCTCTGATGGAATGCGGAGATCACCTCTTGAAGGACTCGGGCTACCCTCTTCTTCAACAGCTGGGGCTTCGAGTGCTTGTGCTTGTTCTGCAAGCTCATCTTTTAGCTCCCTAATCTTCTCGTACCTGTCCATGTATTGCTTAGCCCGGTTTGGTCCATCCCCGGTCTGAGCCGTTCCGTATATGCCGGCATCAAGAGCCTTGACCTCTTTGACCCATTCCTGCTCTTTCTTGCTGAGCCCCCGATTCGTAGCCTTATTGACCGTCTTCCTCATTTTCTCTAAACGTCGGCTTAGAGCCTCTCCTTTCTCCCTAGCGTTTTGCAGCCGCCTCTCGATAGCGGCATTGCTTGACCCTGGTTCCTCGCCCGCTTCGCCCTGATCCTCGCTTGTGACAGCCTCGACTCTCGCCTTAACTTCATTCGCCTTCGTGACTTGTTGTTTCAATTCTTCTTGGAGTTTTATGCAGCGCCGGAATACTTCTGAAGCCGCCACACCAAGTCTGTGTGTCTCGTCGCTAAGAATCTGGTGGGCTTCGGTGAGTAGCTGTAAAGTAAGTGGTGAAAGCCGGATTTCTTGGTTCATGATTGTCTTGTGCCGACTTGTGCGGAGCTGCTCAATGAATCTAGGGAGTACCGAACTTTCGTCGAACGCGTGAGATGGCTGATACACAGGGCGAGGCTCAAAAAACTCTAAGGGCCTAACTTCGACGTCTTGGCTATAGGATGGCGACATCGACTGAATAGGTACGAAATCATCTTCAGGGGCTTCAAATATTAGAGCGATCGGCTCAAATGGTGTAGCAGATAGGAGGAAATAACCAAGGTCAGGGTCTCGGATTGCAACTGCTGCACTCAAAGGTAACTGCGTATCACCTTGAGCTGGACTGTTATAGAGTCGCTCACGCGTAGAAGCCTGGCTATTTATGAGGAGATTAATTCTGAATTCGGAGCCTGCTTCCGAATCACCTTGAAGTTCGCTTTCAAGGCGGAAAACCCAGGGTGCCAAGGAAATATACGTGATGCTAGAAGGATGGGTGATATAAAATGAGTATCGAGACGTGACATCAGGGCTGAAAATTGGCCAGGCCTCTCTGTTTGCTTCCAAGGCGTCCAAGGTATCCAGAGTCGAGAATGTCAATAGGGATGGTGATCCAACCAAGCGGCCCATGGTCTTCGATTTA